AAAACTTTTTCAACATTTCATTTAAAAAAATCTTAACCTTTCCCATTACCTTAAAAAAAGTAACTTCACCACATTCCCCTCCAGCTGTTGTACCACTTCTCTTCCTTTTTTTTGCGGGGGGGCGGTAGGGAGACAGTCTCACTCTTTTGTCCAGCCTACAGTGCAGTGGCATCATCATAGCTCACCGCAACCTCGAACTTCTGGGCTCAAGTGATCCTCCTGCCTCAGCCTCCCAAGTAGCTGGGACTACAGACACTCCAATCTACCTTCCATCCCCATATCTGCACTGACTATGCTTTTAATAAGGAAGGTATGTAACAAAATTACTACTTTTATGTCTCAACCTATCAAACCTCTCAGCAGCATTTGAAAGGATTGACTATTTCCTTCCTCTTCACAACATTTTTTTCTTGACTTAAAGCACACAGACCTCTCTGGTTTTCCTCTTGCCCCACTGGCCACTCCCTCCTCAATTTCCTTTGCCAGCTCCTCATCTACTGGACCTCAAAATGTTGGTGTGCCCCAGGGATCATGGCAGGGCCCTTTAAGTCTATTATACTCTTCCTCTACCTGATTTTACCCAATCTCATAGCTGTAAATCCCAAATAATCCCCAAATTATCCCAGATAATTCCCAAATTTATATCTATGGTGCTGATCCTTCTCCTAAGCAACAAATTTATATATCCTACTGACTGGTATATCCTTATTTACATGTCTTTTTTAAGCATCTCAAACTGAACACAGCTAGTACAGAATTCTTGATTGTTTTTTCTTCCCAAAGTTGCTCATCTTCCATAAATTCTCCATTTCAGTAAATGGCACCATCATCCATTTAGTTGCCTAAACTAAAAACCTTAGTCATTATGTTTGATTCCTTTCTTTCACTATCCATACCCATTCAGTCCTATCAACTCTACGTCCCTCCAGGTCCTTTCCCTCTTTTTCCCATTCCTTCTCTGAATTCATTTTCCACCACTCTTGGCTTATCTCACTGTGCTTTAGTCATACTGGCTAGTAAACTGAATAATGGCCATGCATAGATACCAAATCCTAATCCCTGGAACTTATAAATGGCACCTATTTGGAAAAGGGTCAAGTGGATGTGATTAAATTAAGGATTTTTGGATGAGATTACCCTGGATTATCTAGGTGGGTCCTAAATGCCATCACAAGTGTTCTTAGAACAGAGAGGCAAAGGGAGATAACATAGACACAGAGGAGGAGGAGGCCATGTGAAGGCAGAGAGATACAACCACAAGCCAAGGAATGCCCACAGCCAATAGAAGAAACAAAGATTCTCTCCTAGAGCCTCCAGAGAGAGAGAGAGTAGCCCTGCTGACACCTTGATTTCTAACTTCTGACTTCCAGAACTGTGAGAGGATAAATTTCTGTTGCTTTAAGTTATCCAGTTTGTGGTAATTTGTTACGGCAGCCATAGGAAACTAATACATTGGCCTTCTTCCTGTTGCCCTAATACCCCAAGTTTGTTCCCTCCTCAGGACCTTTGCAAATGATGCCCCGTTGGGACTCCCAAGTCTTGGGCTCATGAGTCACTGTCTCAGTGAAGTCTTCCCTTTCCACCTGATCTAAATCCACCCCATACCAGCCATACACATTTCCCTATTTTCATAACACTTTTTACTATAATTTTGTTGTCAAATGTGCTTATTCTGTCTCCCCCACTAAAATACAACGTCTATGATAGCAAGCACTTTATCACATTCACCACTATCTCTAGTTCCTAGTAGGACTCAATAAAAATATGTTGAATGAATGTCTTGTCATTAGCTTACATTTACAACACTTACCTGTAAACCATTTACAATTTTTTAAACCACCCAAATGAATCAATTCAGAAATTTCAAAATGTTTAACACATAAGGGTTTTCATATGCAGTTATAAATAATCTTTTTGCACTCTGATGAACACATTTCTTTTCACCTATACTCTTATTTTCAACTCTGGTTATTATATAGATGTTTATTTTCTTATCTAAACAATTATTACTAACTTTGCTACTACTGCTTAATAAAATTATAATTGTGGAAGGACTAATTATCTCAAGCTGTTTGCACTTTAACAAGAAATTTTGCCTTCTGAAATGTGCCACAAAAAAAGGCAAATAGATCAGATAGAAGCGATCACTATATAGACTTATTCCCATGGTCAGCTAGTAAGTAAGCGAACTGAATACCTAACAGACTCACCACACCCATCCATTCTAACACTCATCCCAATAAGCCTGCAAGCAATGTGCAAATGCCTAACCACTGAGATCTCTAGACTATATAAATTACTAGATTATTGAATTTTTCTTAACTTCACATCTTTCATTGTTCTATCCCCACCTGGTACACTCACTTTAAAATCTAAAAACCGGAAGTTTTACCTAATTCTACCAGTTCTACCAGCACAGTGCCCTATTAGTTTAAAATTATGTAAGTGTGTCTCAACATTAAATCTCCAAATAAAGCTCCTGAAAAGCACTTAGAAAAGGCTGATTACAGATATATTTTAGATGATATCGACAACCGAAGACTTTTTCAAAGCCACTATAAATTTAAAAGGGAAGCCAGCTTTCTCTTGAAATGCAAATTCACTTAGAAAAACAAATCAAAATGGTGTCTTTAAAAGAAACTATGCTGAATAAAAGACCTCAGATTTCTTTTACATAAAAATGTTGTTTATTCATCCCTAATTTCTGCACTTTTATTCAACCTAGGAAGGCAAAACGTTCCTTCAAGTGACCTAGGGCAAATAACTAATAGCACAACCAGCACCAGTTGTCAAGTTTGCTGACAAATGCAAAAAACTTACTCAAATTGACCCCACACAAATGTAATAAGGTAGAATTGTCAACATAAATTTATATTAAGTTTAGTACTCCCAATGCCAAGAAACTAATTATGTTACTGAATAGCACAAAGATTCCAAAAAGTAAATTTGAAAGATCTGAGTCAGTGACCCTCAATTGCAGAAACCCAATGCAATAAATATGCAAATGTGATAGCACAGTGTGCTGATTGAACACTTCATGAAGACAAACATCTCAGACTAAGAAAAAATAAAAACTGGACAGATGACTATTAAAGTCCAGGTGGAAGAAAGTCTGTATCTGTGAGTTAAACTTTGTATAATAATACAAACCTATTGAGAACCAGGGGGAAAAAGAACTATAACATGTCCTTTGACTAAGTAATTCCATTTTTGGAAAAAAATTACCAAATTAAAACAAATATTATCCTCATTAGCACAGTGCCAAGGAAAAAAAAACACAGTAAGCTATAGATATTTAAGACAATACCATAGAGTGAAAAACTAACAACACCTTAAATACACACAAAGTGAAAATCATTTATATTATTAGTAGATCCTTTCCACAACATATTATATAACCACAAGAAATTATTTCTAGGAAGTTAGTAATATGGAATAGTGCTGAAGAGTAAAAAAAGATGGACTCAAAAATTACTATCATATTCTATCATTACAATGATAGGAAAACATATTTGGGAAAAATAAACAAGAAAATTTACTAAAAATTTAACAGGAATGTGGCAGGTGTGGTGGCTCACATATGTAATCCTAGCACTCTGGGAGGCCCAAGTGGAAGGACAGCTTGAGCTCAGGATTTTGAGATCAGCCTCAGCAAGAGCCAGACCTCATCTCTACCAAAACCAGAAAAAATTAGCTGGGTGTGGTGGCACATGTCTGTAGTCCCAGCTGCTCAGGAGGCTGAGGCAGGAGGATTGCTTCAGCCCAGGAGTTGGAGGTTGCAGTGAGCTATGACAATGCCACTGCACTCTAGTCTGGGCCACAGAGGGAGACTCTGTCTCTTAAAGGAAAAAAAAAAAATTAACAGGAATGATCGTCTAACAAGCAAGACTTTTAGATGATTTTTTTCCTCTGTTCCCAAATAGTTGTTATTTTTTGATGGGAAGAGGACTATAAAGAGATAACATGCAAAATATGTTATTTCTAAAATGAGTTCCAAGAACCATGACGAATTCAGAATATTTCAGGTATTTTAATATTAACTAAATATATAGAGCAAATACAATGAAGACAAAGGAGTGCATATTTTATATTTTTGTGTAAAATAAGAACTTCCACTAAGGCATCACTAGAAATCAAAAAGTGTCAGAATTGACTGACATACAAACTGCAAATTCTGAAGAAAAAAAGATAAACTTTTGGACACTGTTAAGTAAATAACACTTAGGCGAAAACAATCCCTTAACATATATTATCTCCTAAAGTACACTGTTAATCTTTTTAAACTCAATTTTCAAGTCAGAACTAAAACCCAAAAACTTGCCTCAGGGCCCCTACTTCTGAATTACAATGAAATTATTCAAATGCCATTAAGAAAAAAAGATGTGATGATTTGTACAAACTGATGGTACCATCTGAATCAACCTAATGTATTTATCTGGACAGCCCTCCTTGCACAAAACCAATTTTCAGAATTTAAATTATCACCCAGAACCAAACTGTTTTCAATTTTCCACACAAGTGTCTCTCAGAGACACTCAATCACATTTGTGCAAATTTGCTTTCACTTGTAGAAAGTCCTAAATCACTGACATTTAAATTAGATCATTAATGTTACATATAATTTAGCTTTTAATTATCAAATTACCTCAGACTCTTTTATTCTATTTGAGGAGTGGCATGCCTCCTTCTCATTCCCCATAAAATAGTTAATAATAATCACATGAAGATATGCACTGAAACAGACTATATAATTTAGAACTTTCCCACCACAATGATTTTCAACTTTGATAAAATCCGTATCATTTAATAACTGCGAACTTTAAATTTCATTACCTTCTCAAATACAGGAACATAGGAAGACATATGAGGTTTGATGATTTCTGCTTCCCAATCTTCATCTCCCATGGTGGCTTCAAGTTCTGTTTTAAAAAAAAAAAAAAAAAATGCACTTTTGGCCTCCATTAGATCAGAATGGAATCTTTGTAAGTATAAACTACCATTGTTTCACATACACCTCTCGAAACTACTCAACTAGGCGCTGACTTTTCCCGACAGTTTTTGCAAAAATGAATTAGGTCTTGCTTCTTACCTAGAGGTAAGAAGTAGGAGGTATTCATCCTTTTTATCTTTAAAAACTAGTTTAATCACTTACCAAATCATGTTAGCAATCACGTCCCCAGTGATGTTTTCCCCAAAGTCTGTTCATACAATTTATCTCCTCCCTCGAAGGATCCCCAAATGGCTTACTGGATATTAAGGGAAGGGAAATTTTTTCAGAAACCACTCAAGGTTTCCCTCTTCACCTGCTTCCCTACAATGGTAAATAGGGTGTTGGGTTAGGGTTTTTTTTTACTTATTTATTTTGAATGGGGAGAGAGGCCTTGGAGCTTAGCGGGGAAAGAGAGAAAGGTTAGGTGGCCCAAATCCCTCCAACAAAGAAAAAGCAGTTTCATCAAGAAGAGTTTGTATACAAACGGTTTTATAACCATTTTTGTTCAGAAAAAAAGCCGCGCAGGGACTGGAAAGAAGTTCAGGCCTCCTCTTCAGGCCTCTCGCCCAGACTTTGGGTACCTGTGGAGTTTTGGGACTCTCAGGCAGAGGTCGTAAAGGCTCCCAAGAACGGCTTCAAACCCCTGCCCACCCCATCCGCTCTTCATTTGGCCCCAAAGCCGGCTCCTGGGAAGCCCAAACGGCCAGGCCGAGGCCGGGAGAAGGGCCGCTGGCCTACTCACCTCAGTGCGGCTTACTCTCCCCCAGTCCTCAGTAGCTGCGACGCCGCTTAAACGGCCGCACGTGCAGGACGCCGATGCGTCAGGTGCGTGGCTCCAACAATAAATGGCACCAGGCAACGAACAACACCAGCCAATCAGGGCTCAGAAGGCCGGCGCCATCCCTCCCCCATCTCGGCCGTGTGTACCCTATTGCTCGCATTGGAGGCTGCTGTGGCCGGGCCCACTGGCCTCCTCACGACGTGGCCCGTTGGGCCTGCGGGTACAAGGCTGGCTGTGGGCCTACTGCCCCACTTGTGTCCACGGTCTCGGGTGGGATCCTCAATCAGGAGAGGTTCTAGATTTTCCCTGTGCAAGTGCTAGAAGCTAAAGATGTCCACCTCCCCCCTTTATAACACAAAAAATAAAATGGGTGGGGGTAACCCCCTCCCTCCTGCGCCTTCAGCTTTCTCTCTCCTCTTACCTACGGCAGTCCCTGGCGGTTGGCACCCCCCCCCACCCCCGGTTCTGTATTTCTTGAGTAGTTCTTCACATCTGGGGATTCCAGGTGCCTCAACATGCTGCTGAGGCTGGTGGAGGTGGTGCTTTCTCTTTTTCTGTCAGTAAAGAGGGGCGAGTGAGACTCCGCTCAGCTGGTACCCCAGGAAGTTGTAAAGAAAGCCTGTAAGAGTTGGGGGTCCACCGCTTTGGGAAGGAAACAGCCTCCTGTCCAGAAGGAAGGAGGAAATTTGGTGTTTGCATAGGTTGTTCATCAAGGGTTGAAGGGTTGAAGTTGTGGTCCACTTGTTTATATCTCTAGGGTCACTGGCCAAAGTGGCAAAGGGTCATTTCAGTACTTAATGCTGTCATCAATCAGAGTTTCTTGTTCTTACGCACACAAACACACACACCCCCTGCAAAACAGTTAAAATCCGTCAGTATTTTACCCATCCCTCCAAAAACCATGGCAACGGGCTGTTTAAATGGCTAGTTCTCATTTTTTATTTTATTTCCATCATTTTTCCTTCTCTGAATCTTTGAAGAAATTCCTGAATATCTTCATACAGGAACATAAATCTGATGAACACAGTCTGATACTTGGGCATAACGGATGAGACACTTTATGGGCTCAGACTTGCTTCATTTGTTTCATCTCCAGAATCACCAAAAATATGTCAGGATTTATCTAGTTAGCACTAAACTTTGTCAGACTATTCTCAAGGTGAATTATTTTTAAAAGATTATGTTTGATAAAGGGCAAACTGTGACCAGCTCCGTGAACAAAAGCACCTTTTTGCAGTTCTCTTATGTTTCAAGTTCCCAGGCCAGTAAAATTTGCCAACCACAACTTTGTAGTTTTCTGTTTCATTGACCCCCTCCGTTTTGAGTTGTTTTTCAGAAACAGCGAACCGTCCTTGCAGTAGTGAAACAACGCCTTACACTACCCAATTTTTCATAGAAGTCAAGATAAGGCGTTCTACCACAAATCTTGCCCAAGGACCCACTGAGCAACCTACTCCCCGTCACCCATATGAACACAAAACCAAAAGGATGGCTGATATTAACCACTAGCTCATTATACTACTAAAATCTCCACCCTGGGAGGGACTTATCTGCCATTTTCTATCCTGTGGTATATGTACCAGTATGATTTCTCACCGCTCTTGTGTGCCTTATACTCCACCTCAAACATAGCGATACTCATTTCATGCATTATTCATTTCACCTCTAGAAAAACCCTTGACTCCATCAGTCAAGAAGGCAGGATTTGAGGTAGTCCTCCCACGTCCCAGTTTACATCCTCTGCAATAAACTTCCTTTCTTCCTTGACAGTCCTTATTGTCTGAGTAATTGGCTTTCTGTGCAGCAAGCAACTCGGGGGTGGGTTGGGGGGAAGAAAAACCTTTTGCAATTTCATTAACAAAACCAAAATATATTTTAACATAACTGTCATTTTAAATAATTTCCATATTTAAACCAAATATTCACATCATACCCTTGAGACAGCTAATACCTTAAATAATTGTATATATGTTGAGAACAGGCGGTCCTCCTTCTGATGCTCTGAATTCGTATCCAGGGTCCTCTGAGGCTGTGGCCCCCAACCCCTGGGCTGTGGACCGGTACTGCTCTGCGGCCTTTTAGGGACCAGGCTGCAGAGCTCCACCACCTCCCCACCCCTCTACCCCATCAGTGGAAAAATTGTCTTCCATGAAACTTAGGAACCAGGGGGCTGCACAGCAGGAGGTGAGCCGTAGGCAAGCCAGGGAAGCTTCATCTATGCAGCCACTCCCCATTGCTTGTATCACCACCTGAACTCCACCCGTGCCCCCACTCCAGTCTGTGGAAAAATTGTCTTCCACGAAACCAGTCCCTGGTGCCAAAAGGGTTGGGGACCACTGCTCTAAGATATTTTTACTCAATTTGAATGTTGTTCTTCCAAAAGTTTTAATTCCATGGGAAAATATGCACTAAACAAAAAGAGAAAGACATAAAATCGTGTAGATAGAATGATGAGCAACTAGTTTTTTGAAGTGTGGAAAACGTGGACAAATTTTCTAAAATGAATACATTTTTTATAACATTTAGCAAACATTCTCTGCTGTTCACTCCTAGGGAGAACAGATTCTTGTTGTTTTCAGGTGTTATAATGAAATGATTCTTTATATAAATCTCAATATATATAATGTGTGAGAGCAAGCTCTGGTTAAGAAAAAATGAATTCTGGCCGGGTATGGTGGCTCATGCCTGTAATCCTGACACTCTGGGAGGCGGAGGCAGGAGCATTGCTTGAGGTCAGGAGTTTGAGACCAGCCTGAACAAGAGTGAGACCTCCATCTCTACCAAAAATAAAACAAATTAGCTGGGTATAGCGGTGCACACCTGCAGTCCCAGCTATTTGGGAGGCTGAGGCAGGAGGAATGCTTGAGCCCAGGAGTTTGAGGTTGCAGTGAGCTATGATCACACCATTGCACTCTATCCTGGGGTGACACAGTGAGACTCTGTCTCAAAAAATAAAAGTGAATTCTGATGAGGAAATGATAAATAAGCAATGGGTGAAAATAGTATAATTCAAAAATTGAACATCATGAAAAAGGACAAGCACAATTTGATAAACATTTGCTCCTTGATGTGTATTCCAAGAAAGTGAAGCTAGTATTATATATTATTCTATTTCCTGGTTCCCTCTGACAGGATCTTAAGTTAGTGGTTAAGAATGTGTGCTAGACTTCTCTGAGTTAATTTGATTGTGAAACCATGTCATACAAAATTATAAAACTAACATAAAACAAAATTTAAAAAGCCACCTAAAATTTACAGCAAAAGAAAACAAATATACTTAAGTAAATATGTATTCAGCCAGTGGCTTAGCCACACAGAAAGGAATTATTTCAAGTGATTTGAAATACAGTAATGTGACCATCTGTCCCTCATGGGACATATGCTAAGACAAAAAGAACTGCAAAAAAATAAACTATTTCTAGGCTGGGTGAAGTGGCTCATGCCTGCAATCCCAGCACTTTGGGAAGCTGAGATGGGAGGATCACTTGAGGCCCGGAGTTTGAGATCAGCCTGAGTAACAGTGTGACCTCATCTCTACATAAAATAGAAAGATTAGTTGCGTGTGGTGGCACACACATGTAGTCATAGCTACTTGGGAGACTGAGGCAGGAGGCTTGATCCCAGGAGCCGGAGGTTGCAGTGAGCTATGATGACTCCACTGTACTCTAGCCTGGGTGACAAAGCAAGACCCTGTCTCAAAAAAACAAAAAATATTTCTGTAATCATATTGTTAGTAATAAATTGGTATACAAATTAATGTTAAGAAGTAAGAGTTGCAGTGTGAGAGATAACTGAAATATAAAATCAGATTTAATAATCCTGTACTCTTAAATTTGAACTGGAAATAGCACTATGAACTCATATTATCTCCTAAAGAAAATTTTCCTATCTATCTACTGAAAAAGCCTAGAAACAATGACCAACCCATTAGCAATAAGCATGCTAGCATACAGATTGTGTTCTCTAAATGCCATTTTCCACTACAAGAAACCAGCCTCCCTGGCAAAAAGTAAGGAAGCTTTCAAAACCTACCAGAGTACAAGAAGTGAACTGAAATGGGCTCCCATTGGCCAAATCTGGACAATGTGATCATCAAAGTAAACAACGATAGTAACAAATTAAAACTTATTGAATAAACTAAG